GGTGGATTATAACAACGCCTCGCATTCTATAATGCGAAAACGCCTTTTACTATCCTGCTTAATAGCCAAGCCGTATATACAGTTCGTTTTGGCGAGACTTTGTTTCAGCCGGAAGGTCGGGGGGAAGAAGACGAGAAGGGGGATGCATGGGAGCTGTTTAACAAAGCCACATCCGGTAACCTCCAAGAGAGGGAAAGGGGAAGAGGTGCGAGAATCGAAGAATCGAGACCAAAATCATTGAGAGTAAGGGGGAAGGGGTGGGGCAGGAGAGAGAGAGAGAGAGAGAGAGAGAGAGAGAGAGAGAGAGAGAGAGCATGTGTGTGTGTGTTTTGTCAGTGTTTGTGTTCAGTGTTGGTTGTGTCGCCCGTAAGAATGCACACAACTAATTCGGCGAGCGGCAGAGGCAGCGACCAGGCAGCGCGATAAGGGAACATGTGCTTAACAAGAATGCTGGTGCCGGCCAGCGAGACCGGTACAGTCCTTTAGGGACACAACTGCCAAATTTAAGCTTCAACGTTAAGAACATTCTTGATATTAAATCAAATGATTTAGTGAGATTCAAATAACTAACTAGGATACCGCAGACTCTCCAAATAAAGACCAGATATACTTGAATGACTTCCATTTAATCTAAGATTGCACCATGCACCATGCAAACGCAACAGCCCGGGCTGGCGACAAACCACACACCCCCAGACCCAGAAGGGGCCCCCACGATGGTCTTTCTAGAGGAGAGCATCTCACGGGACGCCAAGCCACGCCGCGCCTTCTGGGAAATTTCGCCATCTTGATTGGGGCCTAAGGGAGCAGCAGCAGCAGCCCTTTGGAGTTGATCGAGCAAACGACTATCCGATCAAAAACAAGAGAGCGAGAGAGACAGAGAGCAACAATAAGGCAACAATAAACAGGAGAACGGAGAAGGAAGAGACAGAGGAGCGAGAAATCATTCTCTCCATCCTTCTCCTCCTCCCCTGTTCTCCCCGCGCTGATCTCGGGGACCACCAGTATGTGTGTTGTGTTGGCCATCCGATTGTCTAATGGCCGTACAGTCAGCCTGGGCACTGGCCGGCCAGCGGGCTGCTCAAGGCGCCTGCCCGTGGTCGCGGTGCCACTGGCCTGGCCGCAGGGCTAACGCCGGCTAACGCACACTCGTGACCACGTCCAACGGAGCAGGAGCATCCAGCCCGCGGGGATTATGAGCGATTTCACGCGCAGCGTGCATCGCACGCACGCACGCGCACCCACTCTTTTTTCTCAAATTCAAGATCCAATTTCACATCTTTCCAGCCCACCGCCGCGGAGCAGCGTGCAATGCAAGGCCGAGTATGTATAATGCATCTAATTAATATTTTGAACGCCACCTTTTTTTTGAACACGCGGCATCATGCACGTGTACGACGTGTACGATTGTTCGTAACGTTTGTTTGTTCGTGATTTGCTTTTGTTCGCCGTCGCCGTGCGTCGCAGGGCATACGGCATTGCCCCTCCCCCGTCTCTTTCTCTCTCTAGCGCGGGCGGGCCAGCAAAGGAGTGTACGAGAGGGGTCGTGGGAACGCTCTTGCAGGAGCGCCGGGGCCGCAACACATTATTTCTTTTAGACCTCCGGACCTCCGGGTGTTCGAACCTCGATCGCAGGGGAGAGAAAGAGAGAGGACAAAGGGAGTCATCGCGTCTTCATAAATCAGAGCGTCGTCATCGTCGTCTCATCGCGGTCCTATTTCTCATCAGTGACTCTGCCGATATCGGTCCGAGGTGCGGCGCGGCGGCGCCCTGCCCTTGTGCCGTGCGAGAGGCGGGAGTGGCGTTCATATCCAGGAGCAGAGCCATAAATACGACCTTTGATTTACCGGCGCCGTTAGTGACAAGAGGGGGCCGCGAGGGAGCCGTACAAAGTGTTGAGCAGTGGGGGTGCGCGAGAGCCAGGGTGGAAGAGGGGGAGTGGTGGGGAAGGGGAGAGGGAGGGAGAGGGAGGGAGAGGGAGAGACACGCAGAGAGAGAGGGAGAGAGAGAGAGAGGCGGAACCATTCGCGGCCCACTGCATAGTAAAACGCACCCCGCGGCCGCACCCGCACAGCCCGCGGCATGCAGCGGTGCAGCGGCACAGCCGCCTTTGGAAAGTAGCGAGTATGACACGCGTGTAGTGTTTCTGCATCGGCATCGCGCCTTTTACTGCTTTCTAGCCACAGTGCAGACACACGATATAGCGCATGTCCAGCAGCCTCATAAAAAAAAGCAAAAAAAAAGAGGAAGAACTAACTTTGCACGCACTGCACTTATGCACCGCTGCATTTCGCGTATAGTTAGCCGCTTGCATTTTTTCTCCCCGCTCTACAACGCATCATCTCGATGACTGGCGCCCCTTTCACTCATTACGAGCCGCTACGCTCCTCCACGCCACCTCGACCCCGCTCCGCCCCGCCACGACGCGAAAGACGAACTTGACAATAACCCCCGTCCCGTGGCGTCCGGCCCGCCCGCCCGCGGCAACAATAACGACCCGAGACTTTCACTTCCCGCCGATAGATGGAAGCCCGTGTGATGTGTGTGTGTATGTGTGCGCGCGCGGAGGGCCCACAGGTCGAACAAGTGCCATGCAGCGACGGCCAATGCACACAACGACACTGAGTGACAAACGGTTGCTAAATGAGGAAAGAAAATGAGGCGGTCCCCGCGGACGCTTTATGATCACCTTATTTATTTATCGGGAAGATTCCAAGTGAGTGAGACCGACCCCCTCCCCTCCCCTTTCTCCCCCGTTCAGCAGGCGAGAGCATTACGGTAATTGAAAGCTGAGAAAATGAGTGGCATTACAGGGGTGAGTGACTCCTCCCCGGGCCTCGGCGGCGCCGCGCCACGCTGTGCCACGCCCCGCTAATGACAACTTGAAGCCCAATGAGACAGCAGCCCGGGGCCGGCCGGCCAGACTCGTCCCCACGCCCCTCGCCGCCTTGCCAATCCTTTCACACCCCTTTTAGCACCCCCATTCATCCGGCTGAATGGCCTCGTCGGGCCGCCCCAGGATGGCTCTGCGCCGCGCTCGCGCTGCTGCTGCTCCCCCGGCTGATGAGCTGGAAGGCGCAAGAAGGCTCTTCCTTGAAAACTTTCAAAGTTTGGTCGGGAGGCGGTAACGCCCCCCAGCATCCCGGCCAGCATCGTCCCGTAATCCCACCTTACTTATGCAGCACCCGCCCGCCGACCACCGCCACGCCCCCGTCAGCCGTAACAAACGGGTAGGGAGCGCCCTTTACAATAGCAGAATTATTTTCGTAGGTTACAAACTTCTTTTTCTACGTATTTTTCATCCTATTTCCACTATTCTCTTCTTCTCATTATTATTTTTTTCAAAGCCATTGTCACCGTGTCATACGGTAGCGACTACCGCTGCTGTCCCCTGTCCCGTATGTGGGCGTCTCGACGGCTGGTTACGTCTTCACAGCACGACGACGCCCTGTCGGGAGGAGGGGGGGGGGGTGACGTACCGTGCGGGCAGGCCCACAAACCCCCTTCCCTTTTTTGCCTTTCCACTTCCCCCAGTTGCGTGATTAGCCACCAAAACAGCAGAACAAAAATCCGCAAAACACAAGGAACGCTATGTTTGCATGGCAGCGATGAAGCCATTCTCACGAGACTCTGAGCGGTGCGCAGAGGCAGTGCGGGGGATAGCAAGATAGATGGGTGGATTAATGGATAAGGCGCCAACACCTCAGTATCACCTCAGGAAACGCGAGACGACGACTATTCATAATTGTCTCAGCATAAACTCACTCATTGCGCCATTTCTTTTGTGTGTTGGTTGTTTCTTTTCCTTTTGTTTTAGTAATTATTGCAGCTGAACGTCAGAGTTTTTAACAACAATCGCTCATCTGCTGAAATGAACACTCGACGACAGAACGCCAAACCAAAGAAAGAGTAACGGCGGCCTGCTATGAATATAAAAATAGCCAGGAGTCGTTACACTCCGCGTAATCGTACTACTTCACCCCTCCTCTCCCTCGCGACACACACAAAAAAATAACAACAAAAACACGCACTACAGTACGTACATACAAGCTGTGCAGCAAAGACACTAAATCCGGGACAACTATATTTGAGTGGCTATGCTTGGTGCTGGCCGGTGGTGTACTGCACGGTAATCCCCCGCTGGGACTCCCCCTTTCCCAACCACTTCGCGCGGCCGCGCTGCTCTGAATTGGAAAGCTTTTACTCGTATGTCCTCGCGCGCAACGATACATTGTGTCAACGCGGAGCAGCTTGTCAGGCCGTCACCCCCACCCCCCCTCCCCCCAGGCCAATTCAATCGCGACTTGATGCTTATCTCCTTTGCTTTTCTACTACTACTCCTTCCTTCCCCTAATGACACACCCCAACAGATTCCCTACACCCCCTCCCCCCGCAGCGTCCACCATATTGGTCTGTTTGTCGAGGAGGGTGGTGGCGCGGCGGCTCTCAAGGGGTTGGCCCGTAGCCCGGCCTACCCCCCCGCCGTCGTCGATTCGGTAATGACGGTGACATTTGTATTTGCGCGCCTCGTACGCGGTGTGTGTATGTGTGTCGATCAGCTTGACGTCGAGAAGCGATAGAGCATGCCCGCAGAGCACGCCCCCCCCCCCCCTTTTTTCCCTTTCTCTCTCTCTCTCTCTCTCTCTGCGACTGCATGCAGCGCACAGCTGCTGCTGCAGTGCTGTATTATCGTACCACGCGGGACCAATGGCACAGCGAACAGCCCCGTTCTAACCAATCAGTGCCGCACGGTGCGTGCTCAGAAAAAGAAACAACTCTAAGTTAATTTTAGTCGAAGAAAATGGCTGTAGTTATTGTCTTTTCTAGTGTGTGAATTGCGTTCTTTTCTTTTGATTTGTAACCACTCTCTTTCAAAGAAAATGTTATGCATGCGGAGGTTCCCCCTATCCATATCCCCCTTTTTCCGAAACAACATATAACGCCAGCACAGCATGAAGAAGTAATTACAGTAAAATTGTTAAAAATGTCTAGCAACTCACCAGTCTCCGTTTGGGCTTGATGAGCGGCCGGTTCTGGCCGTTCATCTTGTAGTACAGGCCGCACGCGTTGCACAGGTAGTGCCCCGTGCCGTCGCGGCGCCACAGCGGCGTCGACGTCGCGCCGCAGTTGACGCACTCTCGACCCTCTGCGCAACAAGGACAGCGGGCATGTAGCAGGCAGACAACATTAAGTTCATTCTGATCAAAAATGTATATTGAACGCGTCAACAAAATGTAAAGAAAGGTAATCTTCCTGGAATTACTTAGTAAGTATGGAAATGCAGTTCAGTCAAAGGGTAAAGATAACTAACTATAATCACTACATAAGTCCATTTCGCAGCAAACTGGTCACCAAAGGCATACAAACGCACAGAAAGAGGGACATTGTGAATCGCACACAGGAAACATGCGTTTTGTTATTCATTCATATTCCTCCCACTAGCGCGTACGGCACAAGAGCGCTTGCTCCGGCCCACAGCCCAGCAGCAGCAGCCGGACAGCGTGCAACATCACACCAACAGGAAACCACCACTCCCACCAACAGCACACACACACACACACCACCACCTCAACCAGGAGAGTTAATATACCAACCACCAGCAGGCTAAAGTAAAAGAGTAAACAAGATATTAGTAGGTAAGTAGGTGGTGAAAAGGGATATAAAGTGGGCCGTCGCGAGGCGGAGGGGCAGAGCTCGGCGTCAGGTGGCGGGGCGGGCCGGGGGCAGGCATCAGGCATTCAACACCCATCACACGGCTAAGACACAATGATGGGGCGACCACAAAGCGGCAGCCAGCGGCAGCCAGCGGCAGCTCCGGGCAGCTCCAGGGGCGCGCTGCAGACCGCAACAGCCGGCGAGCCCCGGGGGCGGCCCGAGGGCGAGCCCAGCAGCGCCAAAGCCAAAGTGATTGGGCCGCATGATTGGACGGAACCGCAAAGGGCTCCAATAAACACACGCATCCTCCCCAGCACGCGCTGCTTGAACCGAGGTGTAAAGGACACTTGGTGTAAGACGCGTGGAAAAGTAAAAACAAAATGAAGAAAATCATGGTGGGCGCCCGGAAGGGATTCAAACTCGGGACTGACCCGAGAGCGGTCAGCTAATTGAGATGTCCGCCAGCTGGCCGTAAATCACCGCGAGAGCCGAGCAGAGCGCAGTGCTGAGCGCGGTGCTGAGCGCAGTGCTGAGCGTTGTCAACGGTGGACCGGGCGGGCCGAGTTAGTTTAGGACGGGTACATCAGGCCGCAGGCGCAGTGGGGCCGTGTGCACAGGCAATCACGCGACTGTCAAATCAAGGACCAGACTCCTGCACGGGCGGCAGCCGCTTTTAAAAATATAAAAGGTGTTGTAATCGATGTAATAATGAGATCACACACATACTACACATAGCGGTGCCGCGCAATTCGACATCACACAAACCACGAAAGCCGGCGTGCGCGACGGCCGTCGGGGGTGTGTGGACATCGGGCGCCAGACACGCCCCCCTGGTGGCGCCGATCGTGCACCGCTACGCTCCCTCTCTCTCTCTCTCTCTCTCTCTCTCTCTCTCTCTCGCTCACACACACAACGCGAATTAATAGTGGCGCACGGCGCCTACATGCTGCACTGCTGCGCCCGCCTGCCGCCCGCCCCTGCTCAGCAACCCTTTCAGACCGTCATTACACCTAATATACCACACACACACACTCACACACGTACTCTTAAGGTAAAGTTAGGAGGCGGATAATCATAATGAAAAAGGGGGAAAAAACGCTGAGAGCAGGAGGAGAGAGAGGATAGCAGGCCTAGAGGAAAGTAGAGCATATTGCAGACGTCGAGACGAGCAATCACGCAGAGTCCGGGGGCCCCATCATACCGCTCCGGGAGGCTGGGCTGGACCCTCGCGCGCCACCACCCGGTGGGCAACGGGACCGGCCGGCACCGGGAGCGGGAACAAGAGCAAAGAGCTGGCGCCCTCCGCAAAATGAAATCAGGTTCATGAAACCAAAAAATATTGCCCGCGTCCTCGAGGTGCTCTCTGCCTCTGCCAGGTGAGCCTGGGTGAGTCACACTGCCCCAGGGCCCCGGGGGGGCCGGGCAGCACGCGGTGGCGTGGCGTTGTGGCGTGGCCGCGCACAGAAATGACACTCCACTCTACTTCATTGACTGCGCGTGGCGTGGCGGGGCGGGGCGGGCGATGCTGCATTCCGACGCACGACGCTCAACAGCCCCGCGGTGCCACCGCTATTGTTCCTGCACCTCCGCCACGCCCCGCCACGCCCTGCACTCCTCTACTGGAAGTTCCACGTACTGCTCCGCCCAACTTCCGAAAAGGGGCCCCCGCGACCCCCTTCACCTCCCGCCCCTCCGCGCCACGCCCCCCGCGGCCGTTGGTGCACCCGTGCTGCCACCGGAGAGCTTGAATAAATCATGGGACCTACCCACCTACCCACAGCTGCACCAGATCAGACCAAGTGGCTACTTCAAGTAAACTGCTCCTGGTTTTGTTGAAATGTATTTTTTGTTTTATTTTTTACTTGCATCGCAACATGTCATTGGAAAATTTCTCTCTCTGCTTGCCGCGGCCAAAAGCAGCAGGGCCGCAGAAGCGAAACGAGGAGGAGGCATATTACAAGGTGATTCACGACGCGCTGAGAGCCACTTTGGTTTTCATTTACCGCACGGCTTTCCGCGACATTTCACCCCGCGGCGGGGGAAGCGATGGGGGGAGCGAGGGGGTGGGGAGGCCCCGCGGAAATGTCTCGCAAGAAAAGTCACCAATTTGCTGCGAAGTCTCCTGGCGGTCGGCCAGCCCTCGGGCCAGCCCGCCCAGCCCAGAGCACGAGCGGCAAGGTGCCCTGGGAGTCCGCGGGGGCGCCCTAAGGGGGTGCCGCACACCGCGCAGTAGGGTGCCTTTTCTTCCCCGCGGACAGTATGCTTCCCCCAATAACATGCCTTCCGCATGTCTGGCCTCGGCAGACAGTTGGACAGCATTTAATTTTCGGCAGCCCGTTCGCACCCCCCTCCCGCCCGGGCCGGCGGGCGCCGCTAGGAGGCACCCAGCAGCAACATCGAGTGGCAGACTATTTACAACTAATTTGACATAAAATGTATTTTTCATCCGAACCTCTCTTTTGGGGCGGGGAGGGAAGGCGACCCACAGAAATTGAGATAATAGTCGGTGGCGAGGAGGCCTGCTTGCCGGCCGGGGCCGCGCCGGCCGCTGCTGGGGGCGTGGTCCGACAAATTGTCGGGGGGTGTGAGAGAGAGAGACGGAAAGAGGTGAAAAGGGGGAGGAAAGGGGGAGCGGGGGGTTGAAAGGCGGAGGCGTAGGTGGGGAAGGAGAGGACTTTGTGTGGCAGGTGTCTGGCCGGGCATTCAGACGGCCCCGCGCCCCGCCACGCCCCCCGCCATGCAGTCCGTGTTTGTTTTTGCTGTCGAGTCGAGGTGAACGTGAAGTCGCCCCGCAGTCCGGCCGCAGCACCGCGACGGACGGGAGGCGTGTTCCCGGTGTGACCGCGGGCGACGCGACGCCGCCCAGCCATCCTGCCAGCCCTGTCGCGCGAGGACTCTTCACAGAGAGCCTTGGCCCCACCCCTCCTCGGATGCACCGGCCACTGTCCACCACCAACAGCCTCGCGCGGTTCCGGTCCAACGTACTGATCGAGATCTCGATTTGTAATCGTTACATCGAATCGGGCTATCGAATTACGCCACGGGTATATAGACCCCAGCCGGGCGCATGAGTGGGGGAGGAGGGGGTCATCGGGTGGGCGAGGTGACACATATCGCTTACTCGGACAGCGTCACGGCCGGCTACGCGCGCCCGCATGGGAGCGAGCAAGAGGAGAGAGCGAGGAGAGCGAGCGAGAGAGAGAGAGAGAGGGAGACGGGCGCGTGCCTCTTGTCATACATGACTAACCCCTTTATCGGTCGTGCTCCGGGTTTGTTCCGCCTGTAGAAGCGTTACGCCTAAAATGACAGCAAATGTCTTGATTAGCTCGACACGGGGAGTGGGTGGGAGGAGGCGAGGGCGCAGCACAAGACTGCGACAGAGCGGGAGAGCAGGGAATGCCCACAGTGCCAAATGGTTTGGAGGACCAAGCGGCGCGGGCAGCACGCCAGAGAGTATTTAAGCGCCAGCTACCCCCTCTGAAACCCCCATTAATTATGTGACCGGGCTGGCCAGCCGGCCGGAAGTCCCGTGCGCACCGGGGGACGCACCAGAAGGCCGTGCACGGACATAAAAATTAAAACGCTTCTTTTTTCTTCCTTTTTTCAAGTCGGACGGAAAAATTATTTAAATGCAACTTTTAGAGAAAAAAAAAGTGTTCCTGCTTTTAAAAGTCTCCGAGAAAAAAAAGAATGTCACCCCTCTTCCAACAGCAGGCAGTCAGACGTACGCACAAGACGGGGAAAGGAAAAGCACGCTGCTCTCGGGTCATGGTCCGTGTGTAGAGTAATCCGGCCCGGAGGATGCACAGTGTGTAACGGGCAGCCCTGTCATTAGCAAAAACCACGTCGCGCCACCGGGACGGGAAGGGCCGGGGGAATTCCAGCCACACACTGGGCGTGGGTGAGAGAGAGAGAGAGAGAGAGAGAGAGAGAGAGAGAGAGAGAGAGAGAGAGAGACGGCGGGGCCGAAAAGAAGAGAAAAAGTGTCGCCAACTTAATCGCCGTGGCGACGGTAAGGCGCTGGCCGGCTTACACACGAGGACCCTAATGCTCAGCGCCTTTCCAGAAATCCGCTCTGAGTGTGCGTCTCGGACGGGGCGAGGGCGGAGCGGGCCGAGCGCCACCGCCAGCCGTCAATGAGCCGCGGGGGACGGCGACACAGGTATGTGCGTTACTGGACGGGCTCGGTATGTGTACTCTACGGCTGCGCTCCGGCGTGCACCAGCGACTTAAGCGTTCTGTTCTTTTCACGCTTTGCGGCGCCCGGCAAGGAAAACTACCGTCGGATTTTATTTCCACGCATCGGCGCACCTCCGCGGCGGCGCACCGCACAGCGGCGCGCACCGCACAGCCTTGTTTTCAGAAAATGTAGACCAGCCACTTTACTTCATGGAGCGCCTTCCACCGTACTCGCGGGTGCTGCTGCATGCTATCAAATCTCTCAGGTAGGGTGATATAGAAAGTGACTATGTATACTCAACGGCGCCAGTG